CGGGCACATGGGGAGGTGCAGGGAAATGCAGGATGAGCGCTGCATGTCCCGGGTGTTCTGGCCTGTCCGCCTTGAGGTGGTGGAAGTAGGGAAGGGAGGAGACAGACCCGAGCAGATCTTGCCCCATCTTCTCATCATGCCTTGGAACGACCCCTGGGTTCAGTTCCATGGAATTCTTGGAGCAGGAGCTTGGAGTTCCCACGCCCAGGTGGCTCCTTCCTTTCTCTATTGATGTGTCTGAACACTTCTTCCTCAGGTCAAATAAACACCACAATTTCCCTGAATCTGGGATTCCACATTTGCTTAAGTTCACATGGATCCAATTTAGACCATATTATTTCATGTTCTGTCCATCTCACGGCAATAGTTCCCATGTATCTAATATTAGCCTTCTAATAAATAATATTTTAATGTTGGCCATGTAATTCTGTGTTACCAGGGCCGTCAAAGCCCACGCCAGTTTGCCCCATTGGCCCGGGGCTGCGGGAAGTTCTGCTGCGGCTCTGGGCAGAGCCGTGTCCCTGGCGAGGGGTGGGCGAGGCCGGGGGTGCCCGGAGGGGTCCCGCAGCCGCCGCGGGGGCGCGGCGGGGCCGGCAGCGCTGCGAGGAGCCGCGGGGGAATGGCCGGGAGCAGCGGGAGCAGGAGGCGGTGGCGGGGCGGGGATGTCGGAGGGATGCGGGGGCAGCGGGAGCGGTGCCGGGGCTGTTCTCGCTCTCCCAGCGGAGCCCCGAGCGGGGCCGGCTCCCTCGGGGGCTCCGCTCGCCCCCGGGCAGTCCCGGCGCCCCGGGGCTCCGGGGCCCTCGGGCGGCGTCCCACGGGCAGGGGGCTGGCGGTGGGGCCCGGGGCTGCTGTGGGGCTGCCGAGAGGAGCCCGGAGCGGGCAGGAGCCGGGCAGGGACACGGAGAGGCCCCGGCGCAGGGCCGGGCGGGCTCCGGGTCGGGGGTCTCTGCTGCGGGGCTGGGCTGCCCCAGGACGGGCAGGAGGAGCCCGGGCAGTGCCGGGGCTCCTCGTGTGCCGTGTCCGAGCGGGGCTGGCCGGAGCCCGCTGGGGAACGGCCCGGGCTGGGAACGGGTGCGGAGCAAAGAGCAGTCGGGAGCCGGAGAGCCTTGCAATGCGAGCCAGCTTTTATTGCCGTGCGGGGCAGGGGCGTCGGCAGCGGAGCGGGGCCCGGGCCGGGGGCTCCCCGCGTGTCCCGGCCGCGGGCAGAGCGGCAGCCGAGCTGGGGCCGTGCCGGGAGCGCGCAGCGATCGCTG